ACTAAACATTTTTCTTTCTCGCTCTTGTAAGTTTTGGACTTCTGTCATGAAATATGGCTAAAATGAGTGACTAGGGTGTTTACATGACCTTTGAGAGTAAACATCACTTTGAGCACATCTTGGACTCAAGGTGAAAGTTTTTAATAGTTCGTACTATTTTTATCTACAGCTCTTAAGAAATCAGCTGGCATTGACTAAATCATGTTGAAATATTAGAAAATTGCTTCCTGAGACCTCTATAAATCAGATCTTGTACATATTTTCTCCTTATCCAAATGTATGGTAAACCATTTCAAAACATCCATAATTAAAAAGGACAAATTCTAATTAATATGAACACATCTGACATGTTTCAAAACGATTTCTAAACATTTTTTCATGTTATAAATTATACAGATCCTGTCTCATCATTGCAACAAAAGTAACACGGTATTTGACCTTCATGGACTGACCATTTAATATACAGTTTTAGGAAGTTTTTTTTTTTTTCAGTTAGTGCTTCAATTTTCAACAATGCTTCAACATTTTTTTCTCTGAAAGTTGGAGCCCACACATAGGACAAACAGCACACTATTTTGCTGAATGTCTATCATTTCCAGTGAACAAATTTGTTGTTTTAAAACTTGAGGACTTTTTTCGGCATTATGGGGAACAAGTTATTACTTTTTCAATAAATTCCAAGCCTCTACCAGAACATCACATGGTTGCCTCATTAATCTGTTCTAAAATTTGCAAAAAGCACCTCTTCTCAAAACCTGTCATTCAAGAAAACATGTTAAAATGTCATTGGAATGTTGTTTAAATGTTGTTGAATGTTGATGAATGTTGTTGAATGTTGTTGTGTTGAATGTTGTTGAAAGTGTTGAACGTGGATGAATGTTGTTGAAAGTGTCGAATGTTGTTGAAAGTGTTGAATGTTGATGAATGTTGTTGAATGTTGATGAATGTTGTTGAATGTGGATGAATGTGTTGAATGTGGATGAATGTGTTGAGTGGTGTTGAATGTGTAGCCAGGCTGTTGTCAGAAGGATCTTTAGAGCCTTTTCAACGGGTAGATGAACAGAGTGTCACCAGAGTCACCCAGTGCATCGCATTGATGGTCAGACAACCATGACCGCCACTTAACACACCTCCAGTCAAAGGTAGTTAGCCGACGGGTTCACACAACAAATGTCTTGTCACCATGAAAATATTCCTACCCGTTACTCACACAAACGGTCTGACACCATGACAGAATATATACCCGTTTAACACTTCTTGCCAGTGAATGGCTGGCTGATCTTGTTCAGAAAGAAAAGACATAAAACTGATTTGGGAATCTGTTACACTGTGAAAAGTACTTGAAATCATAATTCACGTATATTGGTAAATAGATAGCGTGAGGTCTCATGAAGTATTGAAAATATTAATTTTATTTTATTTCATATGTTGTCTATTTGCCAATATTCAGGGGGGCACGGGTGGCCCAGTCGTCTAAGGAGCCGTGATTCCCTGTGCAGAGTTGCGTCCCTTGTGCCCATCAGAAACCTATGATTGTGGGTTCGAATCCCAGTTCGCCTCGATTATGTTTCCAAGTTTGTCAGCACCATACCCATGCTTGTGGGTTTCACCAAAGTGGTAAATGTCTGAGATCTGCGACACTCAGGCTTTCCTCCCACATTAAGCTGACACGCCATGGTATAACTGTAATACTGTTAAAAGCGGCGTTAAACCAAACTCACTCACTCACTCAATTATTTCAGAATTTCAGTTTATGTTGATAATGTCTTTACAGTTGAACATCTGTGGCAAACATCCTGACCATATGATCAACACGAACATAAATACATGCTTACAGGACCCATGAACATCCGGGTAAGAATAGGTCTTCAGCAACCAATGCTTGCCACAAAAGACTATGCTTGTCGTAAGAGGTGATAAACGGGATCTTTTGGTCAGATTTTTTAAATCAGCCCTTTAACTGTGGGAGGGGTGGTGGAATAGCCTAGTGGTTAAAAAGTGAGTGAGTGAGTGAGTGAGTGAGTGAGTGAGTGAGTGAGTGAGTGAGTGAATATTGCTCGGTAGTATGCAATCTAATAAATATCATATCGCTCTCATATATAGATCTCTGCACAAAGATCTCTTACAAATTTACCATAGGTTCCAAAACAATAGAAACTTTCAACAAATGTGTTTAATTTTATTTTAAAAAATTTAGTTGTTAGGAAAGAACACAGAATTCAGAGCCCCATTCCAAAAATGAAAAGTATGAGAATTATGATTGTCTTACGATCATTGTATGGAACAGAGGTCTAACTGAGTCAGTCATAACAGGGCCACAGAGAAGCTGCGTATTTGCGTTAAAATACCCCCCCAAAACTATTCAGAACCCAATTGCGTTCAGTTAACTTGCGTAAAGAAAGGCATGCATTAAATGAAAAACTCAATTGTTTGAAAACAGCATGCGTAGATACCAAATGAAGCTTTTTCAGCATACGTACAATGGAGCTAATTTCCGACACACAATTATGAGCTAATTTAATTTCCGAGTCAAGCCTATATATTCAGAACCCATATATTTTTTTTAAGTCTCAAAATGCTTAATCATTTTGGGGAAAAACCAAAAGAGTGATGACTAGATGAGTGAAAAAAATATTGGTTACCCAATGGAAACTGTAATAACCCAATTACAATAGAAACCTTCGAATAAAAACTCAATTGCTCAAAAAGTTATCTGGTGCTCTGAATAATGAATAGTAGTTATGCGAATGAGTCACTGTTACACTCAGCAACATTCCAGTTTTATCACAGCAGCATTTGAATAATCAAGTCTGGATGTGGCAAACAAGTGACTGAAAGAATGAGCAGCAATCGACACCATCAAGGTACGGTGACACTCAAACACTCACACCCAAACAATCACTCACTTCTTTTTGTTACCTAGTTATTAACAAAACTGTTATCCTGCAGTGCTTTATCCATAAAACCACAGGGGATCCTTTCAGATAATAAAGACATATACGTCTATTACCGCCACTAGTGATTCGGAACCGACAACTCAACACTTCTCTAAAGTGCCTTTCACACTTCATGACCCATTCTGGCTTGTCCAAGTCTTTTTCACCACCTTTGTGAATACAGTTTCTATATTCAACATATTCACCGACATTCCTAATGACAAAAGGTGGCCATCAAGAACTGCCACCGTTATCAATGAGTCCATCTGCTATTCAAACCGAACAATATCAAACTGGATTCATTTATTATTTTATACCTATCACAGCGACTCTTTCGTGGAACCGGCTGTGAATCAGAAAATTAAACTCTTACAACTTATAATCTACCCATGATTATACTCCAAACAAGGGCACCCATGTATAAAAAAGAAGCTTGATACTCGTGTACTAAAGTGTGTGTCCTCTTACAGCTTGCCTCGATCGCCTAACATTGCCAATACGTACAATGACGAACATTGCTGACTCGCAAGACATTTTTGGAAGGATGGTATCCATTAATAATAGACTTGTCATGAGATAGGAACACGTTCAATGCTCGGTCATTGTGCTGCGTCATATGGTTGTATACACACGAGGAGAACGTCACCCCTCTGTCACACGCAAGTCCCCTCAGGCAATGGGGGACGTTCACCAACACCTCCGCTCTCCACATGAAGGCATTCCTTTGGGATAAACTTTCCCAGAATTGTTGATATACCATTAATGCATCAAGGAAGTAGTTATGGGGGGAGCCATTTTTAATTGGTTTAGGGACCCACCAATCCTACAAAAATGCAAAGAGGTAAAAAATATGTGAAAAGCACAATCTACCTTAATCTGACATATATATGTGTTGACTTAAAAAAACAAAAACAAACAATCATCATGTTCAAATTTCAAAACCTGCTTCACCAATATGGTATGGGGCACATGGCTATATCATTTTTTTATAACAGACCAGGAAGTTACATAATAATTTTAACAAAGAACTATTAAAGCCGTCCTTCGTGATCCATTTGATTTTTTTACAATGTTGGTCAAGGTGATTTTCAGTGACCAAAATTATATAAGCATGCATCAAGTGAAATCGTCACCTTCAAATTAAAAAGCTTTATTTGTTGCAATTTTAGAAAACTTCTGATATACTATTATATTTCAAACCTTTAAGAATTTTGAAAATCGTTATACTGGTATATTAACATAAGCTACAGGGAAATGATGCAGTAAATTCCCAAGAATATCGGCTTGCTTGTCTGTACGAAACAATGGCCCATTTGAGACATTCAAAGTGCTAGAACTTATGACCTTGCTCGTTATGAATATTCATATGAAATGAGGTCAAGGACACAGCTACAAGACATAAATGGTGTTTCGCTACTCATAACTCTTCTGCAAGAAAGACATGTCACACTCGTGTCACGCTTGTGTCATTTCATATCAGTTTTTACATCTGGAAACTGACGATTAGGTAAAATAGAGCAGCCTAGAAATGATATATGTGGGAGATGTTTTTGTTAATGCAGAATTAAAACTTAAAAATAAATATGAGAGCAGCATTTGATATTTACAGGGGTTTAGGGCTCTTGAAGTTTACTGTACAAGTCAATCTCATTAAAATCAGATCTTAGTTTTCGCTACTGCTAAACAAAGATCTGAGGACATCCCATTACGGGTCACGTCAGAATAGGTCTTCAGCAACCCACGCTTGCCATAAGAGGCGACTATGCTTGTCTTAAGAGGTGACTAACGGGATCGGGTGGTCAGGCTCGCTAACTTGGTTGATGCATGTCACTGATCCCAATTGTGTAGATCAATGCTCATGATATCAATCGCTGGTTTGTCTGGTCCAGACTCGATGATTTACAGACAGCCGTCATATAGCTGGAGTATTGCTGAGTGTGGCTTAAAACAAACAAACAAACAAACAAACAAACAAATAAACAAATGGGAAGAAGGTGGCCAGTCAGGGAATGCAGAGTAGGACACTTGTCTTGTTGACTATGGAACCTCTAGAAGACTACTTACATTTCTCCATTGGTGATGAAGTCTTCCAACTGTTGGAAGTCCAGAGCTTCATTGTCTATACCTAGGTCTCGACCTGAAACATACATTTGCAGATGTAACACCAGTGCAGACACACACACCTACCTAGGTCTCGACCTGAAACATACATTTGCAGATGTAACACCAGTGCAGACACACACACCTACCTAGGTCTTGACCTGAAGCTCACACACATGGAGTTGAAACACAAGCATGCACGCCTGCACACAGGCAAACACGCAGGCAAGCACAGAGGTCTCAACCTGTGACATGTGTGGAGTGAGTGAGTATGTTTTTACGTCGCTTTTAGCAATATTCAAGCAATATCACGGCGGAGGACACCAGAAATGGGCTTCACATATTGTACCCATGTGGGGAATCGAACCCGGGTCTTCGGCGAGCGAACGCCTTAACCACTAGGCTACCCCACCGCCCCCGACATGTGTGGAAGAAACAACAGGGTTGTCACATGGGTGAGAAAGTGTCTGGGTGAGTGAGTGAGTGAGTGAGTGAGTGAGTGAGTGAGTGAGTGAGTGAGTGCTGTCGCTGTAGTGGAGGCCTGTACATTACCCATGTGGAGAAGGCAAACCAGTGGTTGATAGCATGAGTAACTACCCTCACAGTTACGACACAAAGACACACAATTAGCCATTTTCTCAGTAAATTCAGTCAGTTCTTTAGAATAGGAACCAATTCTGCCCTGATATTGTCATGGGGAGACGAGCATGTCTCACTGAGAACCTATTCTGCCTAAGAATCACCACAGGAAAACAATCATGGGATGTGGGAACCTGCATAAAAATTCACAGAAGAAGACAAGCATAGGGTACTTGTCTCTCAGGTAGGACTTTAATGCATAGGTACTTTTGACCACAAATTTAGCAGCTCAAAGATGCTGTTTCTGAGTGATAGTGAGTGATAGTGAGTGAGTGAGTGAGTGAGTGAGTGAGTGAGTGAGTGTGTGCGTGCGTGCGCGAGCGAGAGAGCGAGCGAGTGAGTTTTTACATCAAGTGATTGACAGTGAATTTTTGATTGAGTGAAAGAATAAAATTCAAATTTTTATTTCAACAAATCAGCATTTTTGGAGTGGCTTGAAGTAAGCACTTGTTTATAAGTGTCTCCCTACAGCTATCTTCCTGCGCGCTGGTGTTGGTGAGCTAAGCTGATATGAGTATTCCTACCATGCTGATACAATCGCTAATTAGCCTGCATAGCGGGAATAACAAGCTCGGATCGGGTGTCCGTCTTGTGACCAACTGACTGGATTTTGGAGAACAGTCAGTCACATGATCACCCCTAATGACCCATGATGAAATGGGGCAGCGAATATGAAGCTTATTTCATCAAATGCATCATTTCCCAGAATCACATGACTCAGAATAAGAAGATGGCTTCCTGTGAGGACTTACAACAGAGCCAGTGCGGCAGACTGGGCCATGCATAGACTTATCTGGGTTAAGATTAGGCCAGAATAAAGTAATTCTAAGATTTTCATTCCCTCCCAACTCACATCATTTCATTGTCCCGTAGTCCCAACAAACGAATAAAAGCTACAAAACTGTTTCTATATTCATAAGAAATCTTTGTCAAGCAAAGTCGATTGTACGAATCCAACTCTATGATCATGAGCACGTGTTTATGAATCACTATGAAATAGTAATGGTACCTGGTGTTTTAGAAAAGGTGAGTGTATCCTGCCCCACCGTTGGCATGCATCACAAACACATGCAAAGGCAAGTCAATTTCTTCATATTAAAAAACACGGGAACATATGGTACAAGTCAAAACAGGGAAATGCATCAGAGATTATTCTGGTCACTGATGCATCAAATTTGGATATGTCCTCCACCTGTCTACCATAAAACCTTCTGAAAGCTTTACTGAAGCCTTCCTGAGAAACTTGCTTTGACTTTCCTTCTGTCTCTACTTGATGACATGACACCCTCAAACTGTCTTCAAACAGTCCCTCAACAATAATATTTCCCCTGCCGCCAAGCCCTTACTATAATGATATAGTCCTAAAAGAGTGAATGAGTAAGGTTTTACGCCGCTTATAGCAATATTCCAGCAATATCACGGCGGGGGACACCAGAAATGGGCTTCTCACATTGTACCCATGTCGAGAATCGAACCCGGGTCTTCTGCGTGACAAGCGAACGCTTTAACCCCTAGACTACCCGAACGCCCCTAGCCCTAAAAGAAGCAAGTCTAGATTTTCCACAGGTTCTGCCATCTCACTGGGGCTCTTTTCCAATTTACATGGAGTTGTTTGCTTCTATTATACATTTGCAGAGCCTAAGCATTAGTCTAACATTACACCATATACAACAAACAGTCAGGTTTGTGATTCCAACTCATCAACAGTTAAAACTGAAACAGTTTGGTTTAAAAAACATCATATGTCAAATATAATATGTCTACCACCTTACAATTTTGAAACACTTGGAAGAAACTTTAAAGAACACTAAGAAGCCTTATGTTGGAGTAATGTTTAATGCTAATTTGGATGAAAATAATATCGTAAAGAATTTGCTTCACAAATTTTTCTCATGCTAGGAATCAAACCACTGTTTCTTCATTGGGATCAAACCATCTCAACCATCAACTCGTGAAGACCCAGGGTAGAATAGGTTTTCAGCAACCCATGCTTGCCTTAAAAAGTGACTATGCTTGTCGTAGGAGGCGACTAACGGGATCGGGTGGTCAGGCTCGCTGAGTTGGTTGATGCATGTCATCGATCCCAATTGCGTGGATCGATGTTCATGTTGTCAATCACTGGATTGTCTGGTCCAGACTCGATTCTTTACAGACCGCCATCATGTAGCTGGAATATTGCTGAGTGCTGCGTTAAACAAACCAACCAACCAATCACTCCACATAGTGTTATTTCTAACAACATTGAGTGAGTGAGGGAGCTTTGTGATAATATTGAAGGTGTTTCAAACTTTGTACAGTGGAAGACTTTTTTGAATTTTGAATTTTGAATTATTCTAATCCATTCAAAAGATAAATAGAATACTTAGATTTTGTGATTCACTTTTTAGAGGTAAACTGAATTTGGCTGCTGTCAACCAGACCATAAAGTGTTGGCTATTCTTGTCTAATATGGTTGGTTCTAGCCAGGTATTTCAGATGTCCCTGCTTGTTCCGAGGACCCCAGTATCCCATGCTTGTCTCCCTGTGGGGATTTGAGGGCAGAGTCACTGAGAACCCCAGTACCCCATGCTTGTCTCCCTGTCAGGATTCGAGGTCAGAGCTTCTGAAGACCCCAGTATCCCATGCTTGTCTCCCTGTGGGGATTTCAGTTCCAAAGATGCCAGTAACCCATGCTTGTCTCCCAGTGGGGATTTCAGGACAAAATAGGTCCATATTTTTGTCGCCCTGTACAGTACAGATTTCTGGGCAGAATATGCTCTGAGTATCCCATTCTTGTCTCCAGATGTGATTATTTTTTTTAAGTCATATTATAATGCTGTAATAGTGTCATAGAAGACACAAACAAACCTCCTATCAAAAGAGGGGAGGACCTAACAGACTTCACATCACAGCACAACATAGGATTCAAACCCAGATGTGTTTCCATTTCAAGCAAACACCTTATCCACAAGGCTAACCTATGTCCCGCCAACCTGCAGATGAATCAAGTACTGACCAGATTAGATCTCATAGAGCAAGCAATACTTCGCGAACACAACATACGCGTTATCATCTTACCTTGAGGTCACACCAGTCAGCCATTGCCGCTGATACTGTAATCTCATTACTCGGGATCAACATATTTGTAAACATCAAACTCATCCCTAAGGCCATAACAAAGTGATTACTCATTTTCTGCATATTTCGATATCATCAACAAGCAATAAAAATTGGCACTAAATGAAAAAAAAACAGAGCTCAGATAATCTGTGTATCTGCGTAAAATTGCTAAAAGAGACCATTACTCATATAATTTTGAGTTGCTTATGTGAGAGTAAATTATAATGTTCCACTGATATTCTTGGATTACCTCAGGAACAAAACTCTTGGTAAGGTACTTTCACCACAACAAGTGTCTCAGAGGCACATATTTACTCTCACACTTACGTACAAATATGCATGAAATACTGTACATCTTGAAATTAATGCATCTCCAAATCAATACGACTGCTGACCCCTACCCAAAAATGAAACTCAACATCGATGCGACTCCCCATCCCCAGTGGAATGATACATATCCTCACTTTAATCCAATCAAACAGCACATAGCACTGAGTAAAGCACTTCCATAATACAATAAACAGTGTTTTCCTTAAAACAACACACTGTTTATTTGTTTATTCTGTTGACTGGCATTAAGGAAGCTCAAAGGAAATAAAATAATTGAACCCATAACAGTTCAATGATTGGAGTGGTCAATGATGCCTAGTTTGACATGAGTGGGTAGAACTCTTGACCCCAGCAGTGATAACTCACCAGATGCCTATTGTGTAACTCCTATTCTTTAAATGATATTGTTGTGTACTTGTTACAACTGCTGCTCAATAAATACCATGCTTGTGTATATGTTCAAGTTTGTATTTCCGCTATCCAAAGTGTGCAGTGAGGCTGTCTTATTGTTGATAGTCATTTTCTAGACATAAATGCACATTAATTTCAAGATTTACAGTATTTTAACATCCCAACAGTATATCCAGTGCATTATTACAAGATGTGACCATTTATGCTTATGTACCTGTACTTTTTTACAGATATTTATCTACTGATGCAATGCAGGCATCACGTATACATGAACTCTACTACAGTGAATAACGCACAAAAGCACTACCTATCATTTACTGAGGCTTAGACACAGATCACTGTTGCGAGCTTTGCGACATGTGACACACCTGGGGCAGCACATGAACAGAGGCAGATTTTTAAGTCACCTACATCAGCATTTGAAGCAGAATTGTTTGTAAAAAGGTCTATTGGTTGAAAAATAACACTATTATAGACTTGACATTAGGGAGTAAAAATAGTTTCAATACTCAGCGAAAAATTTGCATTGCGCATGATTACATGTAAGTAAACAAAATG